CACACACACACACACACACACACACACACACACACACGGGGGTGCCCCTGCTCCTACCTGAACGACACGAAGCCACAGCCCACCAAGGGAATGAGAAACAGACACAGGATGATCTTCCAGTTCTTGGTGTCCCGGGAGATCTCTCCATACCATTGCTTGGAAAGAAAATTCTACAAGGACACAAGACAACACAGATTTGATTCACGCAGGTGACCTCTCTCCCAGCCCCCACGCCTCCCCAAACAGATCTAAGTTAGTATTCTTATAAGCTGCCTGGACTCGTGAGGGCTATGAGAGAACAACTTAAAATCCTGTTTGATTTTAGGTTTTCTTCTAAGTTGGGTATGTGAGCTTTCAAACAGCCACGTGAGTGCGAGTTCAATACACCGATGGATTCTCACTATGTAAATCCACACCAGTATCCTTCTGACTCCCTTCTCTAATGATCACAAATTCGCGGGCACGGCCAACCCTGTCTGTAGGCCCCAGGGATCCCTTTCCAGACACAGGCAGGTGTCAGTCTTGCTGGGAAACTAAATGGAAACCAGGAAGGAAGAGACCAAGGTCAATGACAATTCAAGCTAAAATGCTCCCAAAACTTTGCCCAGACTGTACCGGCCCCTGGAGGTAGGCAGGGCTGCTTCTCCAAGGTGGAAATTAGAAAGAGCTGGGGTAGGAGAGAGGGTGAACCTGACCACAGCCAAGGGACCCTCAACTCTCAGAAAAGAGCCCGACAGTGGGAGGAGCTTGTGGGGGGTGCGGAGCAAAGGGAGAGCTGGGGCCTCCTCGGTGCCCACCAGGAGGGCAGGGACTGGCCAGCAGTGCCCACAGCTCCTCCAGGAGGAGGAGGAGCATGAGGACCACTAAACTCAGAGGAGGAAGAGGGCTTCTGTGACCCTCTGTTCAGGAGGGGCAGGCTGGACCAGGAGCAGCCCCAGTGAGCAGCAAGTGCAGGCAGTGGGTGAGGACCCCGGAGGAGCCACACCGAGGCCCACGCTACAGGGTCTCCAGGGGTCCCAGCGGGTGGAGCCCAGTGGCCTGAGTGAGTTTCCTCCTCAGCACCCCGCAGCTGTCTGCCTCCAGGGACTCCCCGCGGAACGCACTGCCTGCCAATCCTTGCTTGGGGACCCGCTGGATGGGCAACAAGGCAAGAAGAGGTCAGACCTCCCCACTCCCCAGCTCCCGCTGGTGCCAAGCATACCCAGCCAGCACCCTGTGGCCCCATTAGGCCCCAGTGGCAGCGCTGGTTGGCTGTCACCGTCACCAGCAATGGTCTGACCCCACACAGCAACCTGACTGCAGGAAGCCAGGTCCCTTCCCCGGTGGAGCCACCAGGGACCCCGTGGGCCCAGTGGTGGACCTCCAGTGAACATTAGAGACCTGGATCTGACCAAACCCTGGGACAGGAGCACCAGCCAGGCGCCCCAGGGGACCCCAGGTCCAAGAGCCCAGAGAGATGAGCTGGGGCCTGAGAGGTCATGAGCAGAGAGCCTCTGCCCGGGCGGCCAGCCCAGCCTGCCAGGTGCACCCCAAGCCCAGGCCAGCCTCACTCCAACCCCGCCCACTGCAGCAGAGGCCAAAATAGACCAACGGGACCCTGAATCCTTGTCCCAGCCCAGGGCTAGTGTCGGATCCAGCTCCCTCACAGGAGCAGGTGGACTCGCTCATAAACACTTGGCGAGACCATAGGCTGCACGCGTAACGTGTGCGTGGTGGTAGGATCAAACCCAGCCTGCTGCTCCCTAGCCGGGCAAGCAGGGGCATTCCAGAACCCTGAGCCCTGAGCCCATCAGCAAGGCGGACACCACCTCCACGTGGGCTGTGATACCCAGCGTGTAACGGTGTGCCTGGCAGTCACTCGCTCCTCCACCCCTGCCGCCCCGTCTCACGCCCACACCCCTCCCGGGAAGCCTGGGCACCAGGTGTGGGCGGCTGCTCAGTTCAGAGCAGAAGCCGGCAGGATTGACTCTGCCCATTCATAGGTCTCTCTACTCGATCCCTTCTGCCCGTCACTGTGAGAGTAACAGCTAGTGTGGAGACCGCCCTTTCACGTCTCTGGCTGAACCCGCACACAGTCCTCCCCACGGCCACCACGGTCTCCCACTTGCCCATCAAAACCTAAGGCCCCACCCACTGAATGTCCCCCACACACCCCGCGTGTTAACGACTTGGTCCCAGCTTGGTGCTAGTGGAATGTCCAGGAGGCCAGGCCTAGTGAGAGGACGTGGGTCTCCAGGGGTGTCCCTGTGAAGGGGACAACGGGACCCCAGCCCCTCTTCTAACTTTGCTTCCTGGCTGCCATGAGCTGAGCAGCTTCGTCTGCCACACGTGTCCCGCCAAGGAGTGCTGCCTCAACACGGCCTAAAACCCGCAGGGACAACCGACCCCAGAGGGACCTCCAAATCCGTGAGCAAGGAAGCATTCTCTCTTTATAAGATGATTATCTCAGATATTTTGTGACAGCAACAGAAAGCTGATTCATACACTCCTGTACCCACTCTTGAAGCGAGGATCTCGGCCCCCACCCAAGGCGGCCCCCACCCAAGGCAGCCCCCACCCAAGGCAGCCACCTCCCACATCATCCCCCAACATCTCTGCTATGGCTTTTATGTCGCAGAAAGTTAATTTTCAATATTTTTAAAGCTGCTAATAGCATCTGATGTCAAGGCCTATTTCTGGGCACCTAGTTCTGTGGCTGGTGTTTACCTGCACCCCAGGTTGGGCGATGAAATGCTGGTCTGTGGCCTCCACCGCCAGCTCCAAACAGTTGCTTCCGCCCCAAGCTTCGCAGGAGTAGACCAGCAGCTGCTCTGCCAAGTCCTCGTCACTGCTGTAGCACTCCGTGAAGAGCTCTGCACCATCACCAGAGACGGAAGCCAGAATCAGGGCTGGCACCTCGGGAAGCAGCTGGCCCCCAGCCGACCCCCAATCCAAGGACAGCGTGGGCACGAGAATCTCATAAAAGGCACAGAGAAGCCATCACAACACAGTCACTACCCAGCACAGAGCTTTTTAAGACGCACCACACCCTGCAGGGCCAGTGTGACAGTGGGTGTCAGTCAGAGCTCAGGGGATCAGACACAGGAGCCTCCCTCGTTGGTGGGCTTTGGTCTCGGTCCAGGCAGAAGGACAGGAGACCCTCTGCCTCCCCTTAGCTAGCACAGACTCTCCATGCCCTGGGCTTCTGTGCTTTCTTGGTAAGATTTCTTCACAGATAAGTCACAGCATAGAAACCATAGAAGGTGGAAGAAACACTGACTTGGAGCATTCAGGTGAGCTCAGTGACAGAGACCGCTGTGCAGAGCCTCAGAGGGAATGTTTTAGAGTAAAAATAGAAACCATGGCCACCTGAGGTCACCTGGAAATTAATCTATTGAAAGAAATGGCTGCACACCTCTTTTCCAACACCAGGAAGCTGAACGCATTGTTACGTTAGATTAGACAGTAGACAAAGGTGTCATGCAGATGTCACCCTGCAAACGTAAAGCTGCAGAGGAACAAGGGAGACACTGAGCAGAACCAGAGCTCTCTGCTGTTGGATGACAGTTGCTCCCAACTCTCCCATTCCCACGTGGTCCTGTCCTCTGCAAAAAGGGCACTGACCAGCTTTAATTAAGGATTGTACAGCAAAGAGCAGCCAGATGACCGGTCCCGAGGCATCCAGAGAGGACGGCTCAGGAATGCCTGCTATCCCAGGCCGTGGCTGATCTGCCCCAGCCGTCCTGGAGCTCCAAGGCTCCCACCTTCAAGGACCTACTCGCTAGCCATCACTGGAGTCCCCCTGTGGGACACTGAGGCCTAGAAACCCAACTGCTGCCTTTGCCATTAAAACCAACTCTGCATCAGACCCAGGGACCCGAAGTCTTCTGAGAGCATTTATGTATACACGAAATGCAGACTCACTTGTTCACAGTGTCTTAACTATGTCCAAAAAACACCCTGAAACCTCCTGAGGTGTTGAGCTACTTAGGCCTGAGCCAGGTAGCTCTGCAATGACAGTACTCAAGATTTTCACATTCACTCTGGGAAAAGTCCCAAGTGCCTGGAGCAGGAAGCCTGTACACTGTGTGGGTGTCTGCATGGGTCTGCAGCCTTCCGTGAGGCCAGCAGGGGGAGCCCAGACACTCCAGTCTGAGCCTTGGTCCACCTGCACCTTCCCTGGAGTCCCTCTGCTGTGACTTACCCACTGCGCGGGTCTCGTACTCATTTGCCAGCTCCTCTGACTCCCCAGCGGCATTGATGTCATTCTTCACTTTGGCCAGAGTCTTCAGAAGCTTGCTGGCTCCCAGGGCTGCCAGGGTACAGCCCCTGGTCTTTTCAAGGGGTGGAGAAACTTAGGTTAACTCAGAATCCCTTGAAGCGGTTGAGTGGACACTAATGTGAACAAGGATGAACTCAGAGCATGAGCAGGAAGGGGCAAAGTCCCAACTATGTGAACATTTCAAAGTAGAATTTGTAATGAGCACAAGAGTCTTGGACCTGAATACGTTCAGTCCTAAACAGGGCGACCTCGAGCCTGAAGCTACTCAGATGAAGAAGCAGCAGGAAAAGAAAACCATCCAGATAAATGCCCCGAGAAATTGCCAGTAAGAGGGGATGGCAGCCAGTGCTCTATTACAGCTTTGTCGGGCTGCACAAAGAGCTCCCAGATGGGGACAGGTGGGTAAGGACACAAAGGACCTGAACTATGTAACCAGAGGCCATATGTGTGAATTCAGCAGTCCACACCCAACCTGATGCTCTCAAAGTGGAGAAGCTAGTGTTACGTGCTAAATCACACATAAAATTCTCGATAATTTTTCCAAAGCAGACTTTTTACAAGCCCTAGTTCCTGTTCATAAGGCAATAAAGCCAAAAATTAACTTTTTAAACTAAATTTCAAATCCTTAACAACTGAGGAAATATTCACACACCCACACACACTGAGAATCAGGTGCCCACTAGGTGCCCCCCAAGGCAAACCCACTCTCCAGGACCACCCTCCTGAACACACCTCCATCAACATGCAGCACAGCCACGACACACAGCCATGACCACCTGGCATCTGCAGTGTGGGAGCAGTGACAGAGAATGGGAGAGCAGTGTCTGAGACTGGGGTCTCTGATGACTTAATGACTGTCGCATGCTTGGTGCCTGGGAAAGTTTCTGTGCAAAGGGGCAGCATGTCTAGTTGCTATGGTAACACCCTCCATAAGAAGGCTCTGTGCTAGAGTCTTATCAGCCTCAACCTTGCTCTCAGGCACACAGCTCCTGGGAATAGAGGAACTCTCTTGCTAGACAGCCACAATGTGTCACCAAGCTCCTGAACCTGCCTGCCTAATGGTAACTTTAAAAATGGACTTTCTTTTAAAAAAATATTTAATTTTTAGTTGTAAATGGACACAATATCTTTATTTTATTTTAAGTGGTGCTGAGGATCGAACCCAGGGCCTCACACATGCTAGGCGAGCCGTCTACCGCTGAGCCACAACCCCAGCCCCTGAACAATGGACTTTCTTGAGAGCTGCACAAAGCTCCTAACATTGCACATCGCAACTGTAGAATATAACAGCAGAATAAGCTTCATAATGTTGCTAACTCTGTACCTTTCATGAATACAAAGAATAATGCTGTACAGCCTTTAATCTGATAATAAGGCACATATAAATAAAGATGGCTGGTGTAATTCTTAGACCTGCTTCTCCATCAGAGAGTAGAGCTCCACCTGATCCCAGCCATTACCTTCAAAATCTGAGTCCATAAAGTGAGTTTTTATTTCCCTAATCCCCATCGTCTCTCACCGGAATCTGCTAATTTGGCCTCACTAGTTGCAGAACTGTGGCCATTTTTTTTTTTTTTTGGTGATGTTTTAGAGTACACGTGAGAATTGAGGTCAGAATTGTTACAACCAAGCATGCCTTTGGTGTGAACTCAAGCTGGACATTTACCTGTTCCCAAATGACTTTGGAGAGCTCCTTCTTGTTCTGCAGAATGGCCCAGATGAAGAGAGCTTGCAGGGGGTGCCGGGTGATGAAAGACACATCCTGGGAGGGGGCAGAGCACAGGGTCAGCTGTGCAGATGCAAATCACTTCAGGTGCCCAGGAAAAGGGGGTCAGGAAGCCCAGGGGAGCGCCCTGTGCTGGAGCCTCTGTGGCTGGGCCATTGGAACAGCAGAGTGACGCGATTTCCATCTCTGCCACCCTCCAGGGGGTGCAATTTGATGTGAAATCTTTCATCTATCATAAAATATAAAGTACAACTAGAAGAAAAGGTATCAAGAGTGAAAAAAAAAGTGCTAAGAGCAATTTAAAAACTAAAAGACCTCTGACAAGCCAGAGAGAAAGCAATTCCTTCTCATCATATAACTCTGTTTCTCATCTAGGGGGAAAAAATTGTTCAGATTAAATTCTAACTTTCCTGTGGTTAAAGTTCAACTATCAGAACATAAAATGTGCTTCTTTCTTTGGATTCTTATTCAAAGATTCGACTCCTAATACATCAATTAAAATCCCAGCTGGTCTTCAAGATTCAAGACCTGTCCTGATAGAAAACAGGATATATTCAAGACCTGTCCTGATAGAAAACATGTATATATTCCCTTTCGACTTCTTTTCATGTTTCACCAAAGTCTTAAATGCATAATGTGTAGTTAGGGGTTGTGTTGCAAAAAAAAAAATTCACATAAACAGTGTCCAAAAGAAGCTCTCTGGACACTTCGACTTCCTGAGAACACCTAGCTTCTTCAGATTTTTAACTCACACACACTTAAAAGTCCCAGAATTCCAAAAGGTAATGACCTTGTTTGGGTTTCCCCAGAAGCAATCCCGAGATAAGAATTTGAGGTAAGTAGTTTTTTTGGGAAATGATCCCAGAGAAACCAGTAGGAAAGTGAGGAAATGAGACATGAAAAGAGAGACATCAATAAAAAGTGTGGAATCAAGCACGCTGCCGTGGTGGGCACTGGAGACCCGCTCCACTGGGCAGCTCTAGAAGTTCAGGCAGAACCCTGCCCCAGGCATGACCTGCCCGTCACTGGGCTCTGACCAGCGCAAGCGTCTAGCCACAGTCGCTGGTGCTGGTCAGTGGGACCCGGCCTGCCTGCACTTCACATGGAGGACCCAAGCCAGCCCAGGAGCACACCCACACACCCTTTCAAGTGGACACCGGGATTATCCTTTGGGAAATAGTCACTGTCCCTTCTATGCCCAGCAGTTCTTCAGTCCTTTACATGGGCAGCAGAGAGGTACTTTAACCAGCTCATGCCCAAGAAGTGAGCCAGCAGCCATTCGTTTGCCCCTGCTCCCCACTAACTGCCTTGAATGCTGCACCAAGCTTTACGATTAAGAAAAGCTGCGACCAGTTTAAAGCAGAGCGTGGAGCAAAACATCAGAAAACTTACCAGATAGCATCTAAAATAAAGGCAGTAGAAAAAAGTCTTATGTCAATCTGTGGGCCACCTTATGGAATTGAGGAGGGAGTTGGAAAGACAGAGATAGAGGTGTTTTTTGTTTGTTTGTTTTTCAAAGAAAACTCAAAAGATGGGGGAATTTAAGCAGACAGTACATACATGGAGTTCCACATCCAAATCGTCCCGGCTATTTCTGTCTTCCTTCCAGAAGCCTCTTCGGAAGTTTGCAACCAGCTTCCAGACGAAGGTGAGGAGGGCGTCGTTGTAGGAGTTCTTGGCAATCTGCAGGTTCCGATACACCAGGGTGCTGAAGTGGCTGGAGAAGAGCTCGGTGAGGACGTCGTTGGTGAGGAACTTCTGCAGGTTCAAGCCGTTCTCCAGAAAGAGGCGGACAAATTTGGGCCGGTCCTTTATGAGAGCCGTGAACATGACCTCCTGAAGGTCCGCCGACTAAGGAGGAAGCAGAAAGCGCACTCACAGCTTCCGTCCCAAAGAGGACACGAGGCAACGACCTCCCTCAGCCACATCATATTTCCAGCTGCAAAGTCAGAAGAACTCAACTCTCTTTCAACACGTCACTGAATTATAGTTTAGACTCCTGGGGGACGCACATGGTGGGTGGAGTCTGTGACACTGGCCCTCTGCGGGCATTGGATGCCACTGGGCTTGAGCTTGTGTGGAGCAGAGAGAGGTTCACACGTGTGGGAATTGACCCCACCGTCTGGCACAGCAGGAGCACCCAGTTAGGGGTGGGTGGCAGCAGTGCAGCCGGAACCCTCTCTCTGGAGTCTACAGCAGACACAGATTATCAGCAAACCAGTGCAGCCTGGGACCAACCAGTCCCCTGGGACCTACTGTGCTTCACACATGCCCACAAACCTTCATCTGGCAACCCGATTCTCAAACACACTTGGAAAAATGGGGTCCATGGAACCACACGCCACCAAGCCCGCATCTGCTCGTGTTCCATACCCCAAGTCACTGGAACACATGGCAGTTAGACCTGATTTTCAGTTACCTTTATCTCCACTTTCTGAGCTCCTGATAAAACTAATACCATAGCAACTTACCGAGAATCTTAAGAAAAGTCATCAGTGTCGACTTCAGCCACAAGCCAGTAGGCTGCAGACTAAGCCAGCTCCCAGACACATTCCGTGTCCTCCAGAGGATTTATGGCAGTTTGGTTCCATTGTCAACATTTAAAAATTCAAAGATTCGTCAAAATCTATACTTCCAGCATCAAGACTTAGGAGTGGAAACCAGACGCCCTGACAACATGGAACCCATCAGCTAGAGTCCGGTGGCAGCGGCTGCTCCCAGGCACCCACACCCTAACTGAGTGCTTCTGCTGTGCCAGTCTGGGGACAGTGCTTTCTGTCCCCTCGGTCCCCACAGCTCCCCCCTGCTGCCTACCCACCCACTTCATCTGCTTATGTTTCTCGCCTGAGCCCTGATCCGGGTGAATATCTCATGCCGATGGCAGCGTTAATGGCTTTTGTTTCTGTCCAGTGCTGGTCTCAGAGGATCACATGTTGCCTAGAGAGGGAACCGTCAAGGGTCCTTAGAGTCCCTGCCCTGTGCATCCGACTGGGCTGAGCCCGGAAGCAGCTCCCCCAGGGACGAGACAGCTGTGCTTCCTCTGCCTCAAGGCAAGTGTCCCCTGTGCCCAGCGTCTCCCTTTCCACGAGTCACAGACTGGAGATGTGAGCAGTGGCTCTCAAACCCAGGGGCCTTGCTGAAATACAGACCGTGGGGAGCCACCTGGGGATGACTCCGCAAGTCTGAAGTGGAGTCCTGCTAACAAGTTCCCGGGTCATGCCAGTTATGCTGCCACCAGCCTGGGGACACACCACCAGCACAGCTGGCACGTGGGAAAGGGAAAGGCTTTGCAGTCAGACATGTCTTTGTTCCAACCCAATTTTACCATTTTCCAGCTGTGTGACCAAGGCTAAGATTTCATCTCTGAACCTCAGTTTTCTCTTCTTTGAAATGGGTGGCTGTGAAGGTGAAGTGAGACAGTTGGCAAAATGGGGTCCATCGAACCCCAGGCCACCGAACAAGTACCTGCTCATGTTCCATACCCTAAGTCACTAGAACACTGGCAGTTAGGCCAGGTTTTTGGTTACCTTTCCCTGTATGGGTCAAGCTCCTTTCAGAGGTTCAAGTTCAGAGCAGGCCTTGAATAAGTCATCAGAACTTCCCCTCGTGCAATGCCCACAGAGCTCTGGTTTGTCAACCAACAAAAGGAGATCATCTTGCCGTGGATCAATGTGAGCAGCAAATCAGCTAACACAAGGAGACTGCTTTGTGCACCGTGGACGCTTAGACAAATACCAGCATTACTCCAAAGATTTTATGTTTAAACAAATATTTATACAGTGCTTAATAAGTGCCAGTGTTCTAAGTCCTTTAGAAGCATCGTCTGGTTTGATTGTAATGACAGCACAGTGAGCTAGGTAGTGCTGTTATCTCCATCTTCAGACAAGCAAAGGTGTGCTGATAAAGGTTTAACACGAGCTTTTGGAAAGAACTGTAGGCCCTATTTTGTAGTGTTTGCCAATTCCCATGGTGTAAATACTCCCACCATGGCAAAGTTTCAACTACCAGTGTCAAGTCAGTAACTGCAGAATCAGTAAGTAGACCACATGTAGTATTTCCAGGAGGCAGAAGCAACACACAGAAATAACCTCCAGAGCACAATAGTGGTAAATGCAGCAAAATAATTAGTGTTGAGTTTTGATTAATTCTTACCTTTGCTTTTCACTAAATTTATTAAAATCTAAGTTCACATAACTTGATTTTTAATAACTATATATAACAACTAACACAAAATCCCTAAATATTTAGCAGCCAGCTCTTGCAAGTCAGTGCAAAGTGGCTCAACACACCATTGTACAAAGAAACTGAGACACAGTCCTTGCCCATGTCATGCAGATGAGCTGGCTCCAGAGAACATTCTCAACCACTATGCCCTTCATGTTTAACAGTCTTTATCTGAGCTGATCAAATTAAGTGTACAATTCAATATGTGACTGAGTTTATGTTTATTTGTACCATCTAAACTTACCAAAATACAACATTTCACACACAGGGATTCATTTAGGACTCAATTAATAAATCAATTTCTAGTTCCTAACTAAAGCCTGCAATGTAGAACAGGGCTTGCTACACTGTACAGAACAAATACAAGATGATGTTTGCCAAAGGAGTGAATAACTTTAAAAATTCATGAGCCATTACTCTGTTTGTACTGCCATCATTAAAACTGATCACATGGAATACAAATCCACTCCTAGTCTTTGATTAAACAAAGGTCCGAGAGTGTTTTCTGAACCTGGCTGCTAAAGAGGAAAGATATGAGGTATATATACCTTCAAATCAATGCCTACTTGTAGAAAATTAAATAAATCACTAATGACTTCAATTAATTCAGAAGAACTTAAACTTCAAAGAAGCAGTCTTGCAAGCCTACAGTTGGTAATTATTCCTGTCAAGCTGAACCCCTAAGGCTGATTGAACTTTCGCTGTGTATAACAGGTCCCCACTAGAAAATAGGGGTCTAAAAATCTGGTCATATTTAAAAGCAAGAAAGGCAGTCTGCTGGACAAGATGGTTTTTATTGCATGTGCAAATTCTATATCCAAGATGCTCACTTGGCTCTGGGGATTCTGAGAAGCTGTAAGGCATTCATGGGGCGTTCTCAATCAACTCTTCTGCATCTCACTGCTGATAAATCTCTTATCAGAATTTGACTAAGTGGGGGGGAGGGTGAGCAAACACAGTGCTGCTGTCTTGATTTTGAGTCAAGCTACTTTCCAAAATCCTGCACCTGTATTTCCCATACTTCCTGCACCTGCATTGCCCATCCATCATAGCATTGCCCATGGTTATCATAGTATTTCTGGAAAGTACAAAATCCTGCACCTGTATTGCCCATCTACTTCCAAGAGCAGATCTGCAGTCCCACGCCAGACAGAAGGCCACCTCTACCACGGAGGCTAAAGGGCTAGAAACCTCAGGTGGCATAGGTGGGTGGATATTCTGATGCCACAGCCTTCAGCTTTACTGTCTCTTCACTGCAAACCTATAAGTCATGTTATCATCCCACACCACAGAAGAGAAAAATAACAACCCTTACAAGAACTCACTGCTGAGACCACTGTCCTCCCTGACCCTGGAGACCCCAGGTGGCCCCTCATTTACCTCCCACCGGCGGTCATTGGTAAAGATCTCATCGCTGGCCAGCTCCAGCTGGTTCCACTCCAGCAGAAGCTTCAGCTGCCCATTCCAGTTGTCCTTTTCTTGCTCATTGGTGCTGAAGGCTGTAAGAAGGCAGGAAAAGAACAGGCAGAACAAAGGCCCACAGATAAGAGGGTCAGAGACTCCACATGGGCCGACCACCAGAGCCATTTGTCAAAGGCGATTCTCAGTCTGCTCTTGGAATCAGAGCCTCCCTCCATTGTCACTCACTCTCACCCACAGCCTCTGCCCTGAAGTATGCATCAAAGACCAACTCAGACCACAGCCTCTCCCCACATATTCTCTCATGTTGCGATAGCACACGGACATTTCCACATAGACTCAGATGCACCTGAGCTCTGCCTCAAGGGTCACGTCTGATATTATTAAATCTGACTCTATCAAGTAATGAACCATATCACAACAGTGCTCTTCAGGCCTTTGCCACATCTAATGTTTTCTACATCTAGGCATCTATACAGACATAATTTCAATTTAGTAAATACTATGATAACCAAATTTCTGGAAAGTACTAGAATGATTCTAAATGTAGTGAAGGTCTGATCTGCACGTCCTGCGTGCCTGACCCTACTGTGTATGCATTCCTCTTATTAACCATGCAGCTCCATTCCAGATGGCCTGGGGCCTATTTACTTGAGGTAGCATCCACTCTGATGGAATTCTAAGACAGCAAAGGCCACACAGGAACTGAATCAAAAGTTATTTATGTGTTTCAAGTCTGTGCGCACCTATGTGTAACTCTAGAACAAATGTCCAGTTTTCATCACATTCTCAGAGGAATCTGAAACTCAAAAACAATATTTCAAACCACTGCTAGAAATAACTTTTTGAAGAGTATTGTGATCATATTTTGTCAGAATTTTCATGATGCAAAAATTCTTA